TGACGCCCCTTGCCCACAGGCCACCCAGCAGCTGCGCTTCGTGCGTCAGTGGTCGGTTTTCGGCAAGACGCTGTGCCGGGCCCTGCCGGAGCTCCTGGGGGCAGCCTTAGGCCTGGTGACGCTCGCGGTGGCCTATGCTCAGCTGGCTGTTCTGGTAGGTGATGGTGGGGCTCTAGGGGGAGGCTTAGCCCGGGGTGCACCCTGACTCATGCCACCTTTCCCCTAGCTGGTATCCTCTTGCGTGGACTCACTGAAGAGTGCGGCCCAGGCCCTCTTGGTGGTGTGCCCCAGGGCTGGTTGGCCAGCCCTGTGCCCCGAGTCCTGGCGCCTGTCCCCTGTGCTGTGCACGGGGCTCTGGGCCCTGCGACTGTGGGGTGCTCTGAGGCTGGGGGCAGTCCTTCTCCGGTGGCGGTACCATACTCTTCGTGGGGAGCTCTACCGCCCGGCTTGGGAGCCACAGGACTACGAGATGGTAGAATTGTTACTGCGCCGACTGCGCCTCTGGATGGGCTTCAGCAAGGTCAAGGAGGTGGGTACGGCCCAGTGGGGGGGAGAGGGACGCGCCCTGGGCCCACCAGGGCGCAGCCGGACTAACCGAGCCCCTGTGCCGCCCCCAGTTCCGCCACAAAGTCCGCTTCGAAGGGATGGAGCCACTGCCCTCCCGCTCATCCAGGGGCTCCAAGTCGTCCCCAGATGTGCCTCCGCCTACCGGGGACTCCGATGCCTCCCGTCTCTCAACCTCTTCGAGCCAGCTGGATGGGCTGGGTGTGGGCCTAGGCAGGCCAGGGCCACGGGTGGAACCTGAGCCCTCCCGCCTCCAAGCCGTGTTCGAGACCCTACTTGCCCAGTTTGACCGACTCAACCAGGCCACGGAGGATGTCTACCAACTGGAGCGAAGGCTGCAGAGCCTGCATGGCCGAAGAACCAGCCGGTCCCCAGCCTTACCTGCCCCTGGCTCCTCCACAGGCCTGCAGTCAGCCCTGCCCAGCCGCCTTGCCCGGGCCAGTCGAGGCATCGGCCTGACTACAAGCCCCAGCAGGGCTTCCTTACGGGCCAAGAACAAGGTCCACCCCAGCAGCACTTAGTCCCCAGGGACCTGAGCTCATGCCTTTTCCCCGGGGTGGCCTGTGGCTTCACTCCAGCCCCTTGGGCCCAGGAGATAATGCTCAGTATTACTTTCTGCCACCCTCAAGGTCTAGGGCCAGGCAGAACAGCTGCATGCAGCTCCCCCAGAGGGCGGGCAGCACTTGTCTCTCTGTGGGCTTCAGCACTTTAGAGGCCAAGTGGCCAGTCAGGACCCAGGGTCCCCTCTCCAGCCCCCTGTGGGAGGACACAGCAGTATTGGACCGAGTGCCCGGCCTTTGAGATACTAATTTATTTCCCAAGTCCTCAGGTACAGCGGGCTGTGCCCGGCCCCACCTCCTGGGCAGACATTTCCCCCTTGCTAAGGATCCAGGCTGCGGGGAGGGAACCTGCACCCCTTATCCTCCCCCTAAATTATTACCTCTCCTGTCCCCTGCTGAGTGCACTTACTTCCAGCTGCCATCTATGTGTCTATTGTCAGTAATTTATATGGGGTTAAAAATGTATATATTTTTGTACGTCGCTATTTTTCACTAGGGCCAAGGGGCCTGGTGGCTGCCATGGCCTGGTGCCCACTGTTGCCCGCATGGAGGGGGAGCTGGGACTGCAAAGCCGGCCTCCTTCCCTTAGACACGTGCCCACATGGCCAGAGCCAAGGAAGTGACAGCTGCTGCTGGTTTCCGAGTCTGGCCTTGGGCAGGTGCTGGGGCTTTTGTTTGAGGGCACGGCTACTCCCTAGGCAGTTCTTATCACCACCGAGGCCTTGCTGCCCTGCCCAAGGCCAGGCAGTGAGAGGCAGGGCCCAGGCCTGCTGGTGTCGGGTCTGAATCAGGAACAGCACTACTGCGGGGAAAGACCCCTCCCTGGGGCTGGCTCCCGGGGCTGGGGAAGGGGAGTGTGCAAGCAATTGTGTGAGGCTTTCCTGAAGGGGGGAGGCCTTGAAAACAACCTGATGGGCCCCCTTAATTCTGTGGGCGTGGCCAAAGCTTCAGCCTTGATCCTGCCCCTCTTCACCTCCCCCCAATAGACAAAGTCAAATAAACGAGTTGGCTGACTGCTACCTGTGTCTGTCCGAGCATTGAGGGCCAGTGGGCACACGACCACTTTATTCATTTGCACAAATAAAAGCTGTCCAATGCCTTGTAGGGGCAGGGAGTCTAGCAGGGCAGCTGCAAGGAGCCCTGGGCATGTCCTCAGCGTCGTGAGCTCCCCCAGGACCAGGCACTGCCCCAGCTGCAGCCTCACACGAACTCTGTGAAGTCATCCACGGAGGAGATGAGGCGCTTCCGCTGGCCTGTCTCATAGGTGGGCATGGGCTCGGCGGGGGCCTGCGCTGGGGCTTTGGCATGGCCCGTGGGGTGCATCAGGGGCAGGCTGGGGTTCGAGTAGTGGGCTTCCTCACGGATCTGAGGAGAGAGAAGGCCTTGGCAGCAAGCCCAGAGGGCAGCACGTGTTTTCTCCCAGGTGGATATTGGTGCCCACCCTGGCCAGCCACCATTGTCTGGGGGAACCTCTGCAACCAGGTGCCCATCCTCCCTACCCGGTGGCGGAGCCTCTTGATGTGGCGGAGCCTGGCGATCCACTTGGAAGGATAGATGTCAGTGGGATTGGAGCGGCTGTGGTGCACCTGTGAGGCCATCTGGGGCAGGGTGGGCAGAGTGGTGAGTCCTCTATGGGTGGTACCCATGGCCTGTCCCACCTGCCCAAGGTGCCGCCTCTACTCACATTTGCATGTAGGGCCATCTGGCGGGCCACGAAGGGCAGGTTGCGGTCAGACACAATCTTGGCCACGCTGGTGTCTACAAGGCCCTCCATGTCTGGGGGAAACACAGCACTCACATGGGGCTAGGACCCCGAAAGCCTCCCCACCAGGCCCCAGGCCTCACCTTTCCTGCACTGCAGCGACACCAGGTTGCACTCGTAGTCCAGGGGGGTGATGATCACATGGACGAAGTTGAACTGGCCCTGCTCAGACAGAAGCAGGGTCACCCCACACCGAGGCCACGTTCTGCCCCTTCCTCATGAAGGGCAGCGGCTTGTCAGTGCCAGATGCTCGCTGATGCCACTGCTGTTTCTGCACACTCCCTCCTATCCAGCCTGGGGACTGGGGCTGGTATATGTCCTCTCGGCTGCCTTATGTTCTAAAACCAACTTCTCCACACCAGGATCCCAGCGTATGAATTTGCCAAAGTTTAAATTCACAGTCAAAATCTTAAACAGTCACAGAGTCCTTCCCTGCTCGCCCCCTCCCCCCCACACACACATACACCCACCCACCACTGTCTGGGGCACTTGCTGCCACCCAGCTGAAAACTGCCTCATTGTCAACTGAAAGCAGCACGGGTAGCTCTGAGGGCTCCCAGCCCCTGGCTCAGATGCCCTCCACACGCTGACAGCTCCCAAGAGCCTCACCAGCCGGCACGTCCCAATACCACACACTCACCTCACGGGGCAGTCTCACCACCCACGCCTTGGCACTCCCTGGGCTCCCAGCTTTGCAGCAAAGGAGAACCAACCAGCCTCCCTATAGGCACTCCTGCCCTCCACCGGGTCTGCCCAGAGCCTGTGTTCAGTAACCTCCAAAGCTTCCCGTTGCATTGAGAATAAATCTGAACCCTTCTGAGCACCAGCACCTCAGACATGGGCTGTGCTGGGCTCCCCACCCTGCTTGGCCTTAGCTGTCTTCCATGTCCCCACTCTGACAAGTTGCCAGGATTGAGCCCACCTCCTCCCCTTAGGACTTCGAGCCCAAGCACATGAAAAGGGGAGGGAATCCAGGGCCTATCCCCACCCCCACCACGCTGCAATGACAGGAGGTAGCAAGGGAACAGGGCTCACAGCATTATGCGCACACTAAGCACCTGCTACATGCACGCACCCTGCTAAGCACATGTGCATCCAGCTATTCCTCACAAAGCCACCGCCCTGTGCCACAGGCTCGGAGAAGAAACTGGCAGGGTTGTCATCCTCATTACAGAGAAGGACACAGGCTCGGGGGACCTGGCCACCCCAGCTGGCAGCGGGGGACACCAAAGCAAGTCAGTGCTGCTGCTTGTCACCACACTGATCTCAGTGGCACTCACTGCTTCTATTCAACATGTGCCAGTGGGCACTTCCCCAGAGACGTGGCCCCAGCTAGGGTGCCCAGGGACCCAGATTCATGCCCACCCGCCCTGAAAGCCCCTTGCTCACTTTGATGGTACCCAGCTTGAAGTCCTCGCCAGAGTCATTGTAGACAATGGACACGAAGTCGTTGCCCAGGTGGCGCTTCTTGTCACAGCGGTGCTTGTCCACGTCCTTGGTGGGCATCAGGGTGGCAATGTGGAAGACAGCTGTGCGGGAGAGGGGGAAGCTGCATGGGCCCGGCCCAGGCCAGGCAGGGTGCCGGCCAGGGGCAGTGGGGCCTCTATGCCTCTCGGCAGGAGCCATGTCCCTGGTGCCTGGCCAGCAGCTTGGCTCCTCCCCCTGAGGGCAGAGCTTCTGGAAGCCGAGCTGCAACCCAACTGCTGCCTCAGGGCTTAGGCTGATGCCCTCAGGCCCTTGGACACCTCCCCTGCTCCCCTGAGGACACATGCCACAGGACGGCTCACACCTTGCATGATGTCATCATGCCAGCAGTAGGTAAACTGGCCGTCCTCGCCACACACGTCCAGGCCACCCAGGTACACCTTATCCGGCTGACAGTCCTTGAGCTCGATGAGCTTGCCCAGGCCTGTCAGGAACTCCGTGTACCTGTAGGAGCCATGCTCGTTGGACAGGATGGCGAGTTCACTATTGCTCTGTAGAGAGAGAAGCATGGTGGCACCTCTCCCAAGTTGCCCCCGCCCCGGGCACAGCTCCCAAGGGCCCCAGGGGGTTGCTGGGAGCCGGGGGTGGTTGGGGCGGGGTGAATGGTGTGGCTTGGCAAAGACCCCCACTTCTGTCATCAACCCGGACTCGGTGCAAGGTAACTTCATTCCAACAGTTGCCCAGGTGACATCCTGGACTTCCCCCTTCTCTCATAATTAGTCTGCCAGCAAATGTAGTCAGCTCAACTGTCAAACACACCCAGAACCCTAGCATTCCTCAGCACCCACTGACCTACTCCTCAGACCTGCCCCTCTCGCACTTGGACTGTCACTACCCCACTTCTCCACTCGGCAACCAGAGGATGCTTCTGAGGTTTCGGTTGAGTCATAGCAAACCCTTGACTCAAAGCCATCCAAGACCCTCCCACCTCACTGGGAACAGAAATGCAGCCTTATAGCGACCCATGAGGCTCTCGCTGATTGGCCCCGCCCCATTAGCTCCCCACCTCCACCTCCACCCCCTGCCCAGTGCTCACTCACTGCCAACCCTCAATTACACAAGGCGTGCCCCTCCCCAGGCCTTTGCATGGGCTGTTCCTACAATGGATGCTCCCACACACACCTGCACACATACTATCTCCCTCACTTCTCTGCTCAGTATCACCTCCCTTGGATCACTGACGAGAGCAGCACCCTGCTCACACTCAGGCTCCTGGGACCTCCCCTCCCCCTCCAGTCCTCAGCACCCTCTGGGGTACATGTGCTCACACACTGACCTTTCTCACTCCCGGGTCCTCACCTCAGAACAGTACCTGGCATGGAGCTCAACAACCACTTCATACTCTAGCAACTTCCACGGTAACAGCTCTGTGGAGGACCAAGGTCCATACTCCCAACCCCCAACCCAAGCAGGAAGGCCGCCCAGCTCTGCCTGGCACCCAGGCCAGGCCCTGCCATCCCAGCAGCTCACCTGGCCTTCTCCCACGTACAGGACGGCAATCTTGTGCGTGTCATATGATGGGATCTGGTCGAGGAGCTGCACTGACCGCTCGAAAGACTATAGCCAAGAGCCTGGTCTGAGTCCAGGGCAGTGGCTTGTCCCCTGCCACCCGCCCTGCCTAGCCAGGCTCAGCCAGACGTCTGCCAAGGGAGGGCTCACCCCACCCGGTAGATCACCACAGGCTGCCACAGGGAGCGGAGGCTGCAGCCCTCTGCAAGCCTGGGTTAAGGCCACCACTACCCAGAACTGGGCATCCCACTGTGCCCTGACCCCAGGCTCCAGGGAACCCCAGAAGGGGAGAAAAGGCATGCCCACCTCATTGGGCAAAAGGATTGGCTTGTTGGATTCGTCACCAAAGAAAGGCGAATGGTAGAGCTGTAGGAACACAAAGCTGCGGAGGGAACGATGATGAGGGCTGAGCGGGGCACTGCAGGTCCCAGGTCGAGGTCCTGGCAGTGCAAGCACAGCACACACAGAGCAGCCGGGCCTGTGCCCACTGCCCAAGGACTGCCCTCTCCTGTGACTCTGAACAGCCAGAACAGAGGATATGCAGACCTGTACCCCAGCCTTTTCAACCCAAGCAATTAGATGCCGCGTTACCCCAGACTGTCCGGGAGCTCCAGCCCAGAGGGTGAGGCTCACCTGGGATTGATACCTGGCACCTTCTCGGCGTTGGAGGCTCCTGCTCTGCTTTTGAAGGAGTCCCTCTCCACCCTCTTGCCCCTGCGTGAGGGGGCCGAATCAGAGATGGTGTAGCCTCGGGGCCGCAGGCCACTGGGGGAGCGGGGACAGCTGGAAGGCATGGGACCCTCGGCGAGGGAGGGGCCCCGGCTGGCTTCGCCTGGGGCTGACCAGGCAGCGCCTTCCCCATCGAGGATCCCCGACTGTGACCGAGCCTTAGCCTCAGGGCTCAGCCGGCCAACATCAGCCTTGTTCCCAGGGTCCCCGAGGATGTCCTGCAGGGTCTGCAGTTCAGGTGAGGAGCTGGACTTGCTCAGGGGCTGTGAGGGCTGGAAGGAGAGGTCCACGGAGGGCCGGGCCGCCTCGGAGGAGACAGCCCGCTCGATGGGGATTCCCCCAGCAGACAGCTCCTCTGTGTGGAATGACTTCTCCTCCTGGCTAGAGGTTGAAGATGACTGGAAAGAATGTACCCCAAGAAAACATTGTCACTGAGCCCCTGTGGGGTTTACCTGGAGGCAATGAGGCCCCACATGTCCTCCTGCCCAGGGCCACAGAGCCACCAGCACCAAACTGATGATCCCAACCTCCCCC